TGTAAACAACTACTGGTGTGTGTCATTTCTGTATATCAAAAATATTGTGCCTCTGTCAAATGTACAATGTTAAATATAACACCTTGCAATATGCATTTCATGTGGCCTGATCATAAATTGAAAAAAAAAATTCAACAGCCTATATATTATTTTGTCCCCATAATTTACAGGGGCACTTGACAACGTAACTGCTAAAACATGAGATTTATTTTACATTTAATCCCTACTGTCCTGATCTTTGACATTTTATTTAAAACAACTTAGTACATTCTGCAAAGATATGTAAACAGTTCTAGTACAGTGGATTAAAAATGAAAATCAACGAGATCTGGATTGGTCAATGCTAGTGTCTCCATCAGCCCCGTTACCCTGTTATCCCTGAGCACCTTAAAATTGTTCCCCCAAATCTCACTGAAGAGCACATAACTATTTTGCAAGAATGTAAAACTGCATTTGAACAGGCTTTTTTTGTTTCTTAAAAGTCCCATTTTTCCTCCACTGTTTTAAAAAAAAGTTATTACGTGTACTGTAAAACCCTTAAAAAAAAAAGAAAAGAAAATTTACCTTTTCAAATGAGGTCATCTACGGACACACTACCGACTACAAAAATATTGCATAGGAGTGTTGATGGGCAGAGTCTCACAATGTGAGAGAATGCTGTTTGTTTTTTCAACAGAATCTGGCAACAGTCTAATTTAATTTTCTTTAAAAATCAAGTGGTTTCACTTTATTTCAAAATTGTACAAAATGACCATGGCTATTTATAAAAAAAGAAAAAAAAGAAAGAAAAAAAGTCTCTGTCTTTAGAATTCGTGAAATCTCAGGCACAGTCACAATGGACCTGGGATCATTCACAGTGCAGTGGAAAGCTTCTTTTGAGGCAGAAATTACAGTTCATCCTTCTTCTTCCCTACCCTTTCATGGTCTCTCTCTCTAAGGGTTCGCATGAAAGTGGCAAATCCAGCCTCCTGCATTTAAAGAAAGGAAAATATTGATCAGGGTTTTAAAATAAGAAACCAAAATAATGTTACACAGGGACTTCGCCAGCTTCCGCACCCAAAGGCAGAGGGAAGCACGCTGAATATGAACTAGGACAGGGCTGTGCAGCTTGCGAGCAGCTGCGGTCACACGCTGTGCGGGCTCCCCACCATGCTGCTGGATTTCCCCTCCAAGCCCGTGATGCTGCGTGGGTCCCTGGGGCCACAGGCTTCCTGGACCCTGCAGCCCCCCTGCCTGACTGCAGCCCTGGGGTGGAGGCAGGAAGCAGAAGCCAGAGGAGGGAGTGGGAGCCCAGAGACCCCAGCAGTGGCAGCGGCCGAAGTGGTGGAGGGAGCAATACCTGGGTGGGAGCACATGAAAGGAGAGACTCTCAGTTCATCAAGTCTCAGGAGAAACAGGGTGGGGATGGAGTAAAAAGACACCAAAACGGAGAGGACGAGAAGGAGGGTTCCACAAGCGTTTCCAGTCGTCTGATTAATACCTCTTAAGCACACAGAAGTGCCATGCGAATAAGGTGCATGCTTTGCTTCCAGACCAGCTAGACAAAACTGCCACACAGGAACAGATGTTTCTTTATCCTGTGATCTTGTCTGGCCTTGTGGTTCTTCAGGTGCAGGGTTGGGGCTGCCCTTGTAGAGCCACGCAGAACCCAACTGCCCAAAGTCTGTTACATGACCGGGGATTTTCGGTAGCAGCTGAACAAAGGGAATTCATTTACAAATGGAGGTTTCAGACTAACATCACTAAAGAAATGTAGAATTGTGGTCAGACAGGTCATCCTCAGAGGCCTTGTTCTCAATTTGTATTAGACACCTCAGGTGGCTTGATTTTCACATGTGGAGCGCTCAGTAAGTTCAAGAAGAGAGAGATGCACCAGGCACTTCTGCAATGGCATGGAAGTCAGCTCACCGTTCAAGTTTTAGTAATATGTACAAGTTGAAGCACCTGGGTTTGAAAAAAAAAAAAATGCCCATCCTTTTTTTTCCAACTAACCATGAGAGATGCTCTCATGTGGGGAGCGAAGAAAAGCAGAGCAAAAGTTAAACAGAGCAAAAAACAAAGAAAACAAAGGAGCAACAATGGAAGGTGAAACCTTACTTATTAAAAGTTTGCTCAAAAATGGGAAACTTTGGGAGGGACAAGAAAAAACAAGCCAAGCCACAACATGTCTTCCAGTAAATTTCCATTTTTGAAAGTGGCTGTGTTTCTAAGGTTAAAGAATGTGACAATTTTTGACTTGGTGTCAGCTTGAGAAATTCAAAACTCAGCGTGTTACATGGCTTGCCAACGGACGTGGACCAGTTAGTTCCCCATGCCCTGCTCTCTCCGTCTTCTTTTGCACGGCAGCAGGCCACAGGCCAAGATACCTCAGCTGTTTCAGTAATTACCTCCATAACATCGTCACCTTTCATGTTGTTTTCACTCCTTTAAAAATAAAGCCCTTTGCTCCCATATTACAAAACCCACAAGCTCGTGGACAAGCCTAGGAACTTCATGGTCTCCACAGTACTCTTGCGACTCTGCCCTCCTCAAAATTTCACAAGAATAACAGGCACGGAAACCGTGACTCCCCGTCCCAGAAGTAGGTCATTCTCCTCCGACTAAAGGAGACTCTCCAACAGCTGTCAGCAGTACAGAGATGGGACACACAGTAGAGCAATTCTACTGTTATTTAAAAACAGGTCAGCTATTATGGACAATGCATCTCCCAGCTCCTGTCATCTGAGCATGCATCTGCCTTGCCAACATCTTCCTCAGCCACAAGAGCCGTCCTTTCATAAATCCCACTTGAACAGCGTGTATTCGAATCCCAAAGCATTTGAAGGCCAAAACCTTGCTTATTCGCTGGCTGCTAACCAGCCTCTACCAGACTACAAACAGAGCTGTATCCATGACAATGCATAGGTCAATGAACTGGCAATTACTGTGGCTTAATCCTGAAGACAAAACTCCCGCTGCTATCAATGAACACTTCCACTTCACTGCTGAGGAAGGAAAAGGTGCTGAGGAAGGACCTGGCACTCCTTTACGCTTGCTACACTTTTATGAATTATACTAGCAGCAGTTGGCCTCCAGGCTAGACATGTTCCCACAAATCATCATTGGGAACACCTAGCTTGCTTTTCCATTACTCTCTTCCAGACAGTTCTTTGCTGCCAAGACTGTAGGATATGAGGACTTAAATGAATGCACACCAAAAAGACAGCACTTCACTCTTACACCTTCAGGGCGCATGATCAACTGTATGTAACACCACAGGAGAATGGAAGGCCTGATGAAGGTTGGTGGCACAATAACTCTTTCCTTTCTAAAGCTTGGGTGGCAGTCTGATACAGCAAAACCAAGTTACTTGGTTATCTCCTCCTGGTCTAAGGGGCAGCTTCGTCTACTCCACACAACCAGCCCTCCATCGTGATCCAGCAGAATCTGTGAGCATGCGGAGTACGGGGAAGGGTCTGGATTCAGATGCAATGTCATAACCGAGCGGAGTAACTTCTATATCCCCTGCCACCTCCATGGCCCATTGCAGCCAGTAAAAAATCAATTTTTTCATCTGTGCTACATTCACCTGCAAACCTCTTACAAAACAAACAAACAAAGAAGAAACAGCCCCAAAATCCAGATTTCCCTTTTGGGTGGAGTCTACCAAAACTAGAACAAATCAATTCTAAAATGTATTTTGCAGCAGCCATTCTCCCTGCACCCTTCATTCAGAACAAAAATGGAACACGAAGCAGTTGTTTGCTCGGGGCTTCTTTCCACCTCCTCCACCTGTACGTACCCCTCTCTCTCCGTTGTACTTTTCTGCAAACTTCCCATAGTTGTAGTAGTTAAAGGTGGGGTAGCCATCGACACCCTCCTGCTTGCACAGGTCATGGTTCTGTTCTTTGGCACAGTCCACTGCAGCGTAGGCAATCTGAAATACAAGAAGGAAGGGCATAAGGTAGGAGATGGGTAGTGAGCCATGTTAGTCTGAAGTCAGGCGGACGGTGAGGTAGATCTGCACCTTTAGAGACAAACTCAATCAGAGATGCATAAGCTTTCATCAGCAGTGCCCAACTTCATCAAATGCTAAGCTCAACATAAGCTAAGAGAACAGGAGTCCCATTGGTAACAGATGAAAACCTGAACAGCTCTGTGCCCTCACCATTGCAGCCTAGACTGGCTTGAGTCCAGACAGTCACACATGTCAAAACGTGTGACAACTTATCCCAGCAGGTGGGAAGGAAAAGAGCATCAGGCCTCAGCTGGCCTGCATTAGTCCAAGCCGAGTCAAATGCTGCTGCCTAGGGTTAGCCGAGATCTGTCTTTATTATCCCTAATATCTGGCTGGCTATGAATTTTTCTTCCCGCTACAATTATTCAGTGAAAAGTTTGATGGTTTCAGGTTTGCTACATGTATGAATTAATGAGCAAGGGTCACAGCTTGACTTCTGGCTCATGGCAAAAAAAAGGGATAACCGTAACTGTGTTAACATGCACCAAGAAGTCTTGATCTGTTTATCTTAATAGCGTAGCTAACAACAAACCTCACCCAGCTCTTCCCAGATCCAGTGAAAAGGGAGATGCAGAGCACTTGACTGGCAGGGCAGACTGGGAGTCAAATTACCTGGCCTCAAACTCTGGCTCACCCATTTCCCTTCTTTGTTGCCTTAGGCAAGCTGCCTTACTCCTGTGGACCTTGGTTTCCTCTCCTTTCACTTGTCTGTCCTGTGCATGGTGTACTCTTTGGAGGACGACCTGTGATGTGCTAGGTACAGCACATGCGCATGGGGGCTCTGATCCTGGTTAAGGCCGTTATACGGTACTGCAAGACAAACAACAAGGAGTCCCGGTGTGAATATCATCTCTCTGCCGACTGACCTGCTACACACCAGGCCCCCTCTCTGCTTGTCCTTGAAGCCTCAGCCTTGAAGCTGTGCTCACCACCAGGCCAACCACAGCTTACAGCTGCTGTTCCCGCGCTGCTGGCATCACCTGGAACCCGACTGCGAGCTGCTCAAGAACCAGCTCTGCCCACTGGCTTCAATGGGAGCTGTGGCACGTCTTGGGATCGGGCCCAAATTCAGAATTGTGTCTTCAGCATTTTGGTGGTGGGATGTGGAGCTTCCTGACATCACGTTCAAATCTGAAACCGCACATCCACAGCTCCCACTGCAGAGGCAGTTCGAAGCCTATTATGTTGCTCATGGCCACCTGCCTTCACAATCCCACGTGTGCTCTGCTGGACAGTGGGCCACTTAGGTTGTTTTAAGTACAGGTTATATCAAAACCAACACACCAGAGATGAGATTTTTGTGACTGCTGGCTACCATGTGTCAAATGCTAATCTAATACCAGCCACAGCTTCCATTCGACCAGCCTTCTCCAAACAGACTTCATCAAAAAAACCTTTCACTTGCATGACTTCAGGGCTGCTGTTTCACTGCAGTCCCATAATTAAAAGATCATTTAATATTCTAATATGCCCTCTGGTTTCATGACAACACAGTACAAATGAAAAAACAAACAAACCCAAAACTAATTTCAACTTCCCAGCAGCAATTCGAGATGGGCAAAGACATTTTTTGTTTGTCTTTGAGATGTTCGTGCTCAAGACAATGGCTCAGACAGATCAAACACAGGCCCATTTTCAGGTGAAACTGTATTAGTTAACCCTTTTACTTTAACCCTTGGTTTCACTTTCCCTGGTTTGGCACATGAACGCCATCATGCAGAGAGGAGCTCCTGAAGACGATTAAATTATAAAGTCATAAAATAGGTGTAATTAGTTTTTGTACAAAAGAATGGACTCCAGCTCATTCAGGCCCAGTTAAACACAAGTGTTAAGATAAACAGATCAGGACTTCTTGGTGCATGTTAACACATTTATATGGCTATCCCTTTTTGCCATGAGCTGTAAAGCAATATTTGGTACCCTGCAGGTTGTTTCAGTTAGGAGGAAAAAAAGTGGTGATGGAATCAGCTGTTACTTTGAGTCAATCCTGTTCGTTTCCAAAGCACGTAACAAGCCCGGCTGCCCAGGAGCGTGCGTCTGCTCAGTGTTCCCAACACCTTTCAGCAAAAAGGATCCCTCTAGAGACTTTCCTCAAGGCTCCCAGTACTTCTGCAAGCTTCTTGTTCCTCCTCCATTTCTGCTACTGTGGTGTTTTCTGGCCACTTCTCTTACAACACATGCCCCAACAAAAACAATAGCCCCCACATGGCTTTGTCATGGCTAAAACATGGAGGTTGCTCCCATTTTAGCTTCTTGGTGCCAGGAAGGAGCTTAATTGTTTCTTACATTTCCCCCCAATGAATAATGGCTCTTGGATCCTCCAGTTTCAAAAGTGAAGTGTGCTATTTAGACTGCAAATGTCAAACACTTGAAAGTTAGGAAGAGACAGATTTATGGCTGCTTCACCAAAATTATTTCTGCTCCTTGTGTAATTAATGAGGCAGAGGGCCTGTAAAAATAACACTGCATGTCATCATGCAATTAAAGCAAATTATCATCATGCATATGCATAATGGGGTAGAATAAAAGTTGCATGAGTAACCATAAATGGAAGAGCTATTGCCAACTACCTAGTCACGTCTCTACGCTACACATTCATCCTATGCCCCACTCTACCTTGAAAAGAGGGTATAAAAGGCTGAGCCTTCTTCCGATGCTTCCACGTGGAAGCCCGTGATAGTCAAGGTCTCTGAAAAGCAGGCATGGAGGGTGAAGGGAGACTCATGGGATCACAGATATCAATGTGTGAGGTGAATAACTGTCCTTTTTATTTTTTTACTACTTAACACACTGAATCCCATGGTAAGTGACAGATGAGCAGTATTTTCCCTTGGGAAGTATGACTGACCCTGCCGACAGAAACTGCAATACCACCTGGGGATCTGCTTTGGCTGCCACACCATTGAGCAAGTGCTCATGGGTTATCCCATGGCCAAACCGAGAACTCAGATACTGGTATGTTTCTGAAGCAAACCACCGATGTCCAGCGGTGCTCTGGCATGATGGTATACGTCTGTATAGTGAAAGGCCTGCAGGAGTTACCCAAGCTAGCTCTGAATGCACTAGCTTCCAAGAGACAGCGCCATGCTAGCTTCAAGCTCTGCAGCTGCCACACTACCACATTCATAACCTGCTTGGGCCACCTCTGTCCAGCAGCAACAGTGCTGCACAAACATGCCTGTGGCAGGGCTCGCTCAAGGGCTCCAGCTGGGTGCATCTTCCGCTACAGAGAAGATGAATCTAGCTTGCTGGGTATTTTGGCAGTGATCAAAAAAAAGTCACAAATCTCCAAGGTTAGCCACCTGCACCAGAACGCCTTGAAATCATCAGATACTGATGGGGTCATTGCTTTCATCTTAAAATGAAGCGAAAAGGATTTTTTTTTTCGGGGGAGGAAACACGGTGTGAGGCAGAGTAATGTGGCTGCTCTTCTCAGTTCACTCCTCTATGCTCCAGTGCCTGTGGTCAAAAGCTGGGGACAGTGTTGGACAAGGGATTGATTCAGTCTTCTCAGTGGAGGTTTCCAGTTCTTCTGGGCCAAGGAAGATGGATATTGGGTATGCTGGTATCAAGTATGCACGTGCGTGGGCTGGCCCGGCCCAGTGTCTATACTGGTGGCTTGGAGGCTGGGCTTTGAAGAGCTCCTTGGGTCTGCTGGTGCCACGGCTCGTGGATCTTACATAAAACAGTACTCTGCTGGTCACCAGCAGAGTGCCAAACACTGAAGAAAATGAGGTGCCATACACAGACACTATGCAGGAATAGGATGAAGTCCATGCCTGTCCTGGCTGCTTATGTACCACAGATGGCTCAAAAACTCTCTCTGCCTATTGCCACCGTGCTGAGCTTGACATCAGATCCATTGCTGTCTGCTTCATTCCCCAGGCTTTGGTGGTGGGGGGGGCTTCAAAGTTTGGTTTCCTGGAGAAAGGGTGGAAGAGAGGGGACACCAAGAGATTTCTTGAGCCCCTGCTGTGGTCTGGGCCAACGTCTCTGGGACTAGGGTGGGGGTCAGCGGCGATGTTGATGCTAGATCTTTACTCAGTGCCAGCTTCTCTACATGCATCTTCTCAATCCTGTGTTGGATGCTGCAGGTTTGAACCAACTGGCCACTGAACTCAGATCAGCCAGGTCCAATATCATCCTCGCAGATGTTCCAGGAGATGAAGCTTCTGTCGTGGTTCACAAGGGTGGCAGGCTTGTGTGTGGCACCAGAAGTGAGGACTGGAGGGTTGCAGGGATGAACTACAGGATGGGAGAAGCAGAGGGGTGGGAGCTGAAGCCCAGAGTCTGACACTGAACCAGAAGATCAGAGGTCAGAAGCAAGTTAAGGTCAAACCGATGGGTTGGATGGGTCGCCAACTGGCTGGAGGGCCGCACCCAGAGA